GATTCCACCCCGGTGCTGTCATCAACAGCTCCAGTATCGACTGATTCCACACCAGCACTGTCATCAACTGTGCCCACAGACGACAACAAACTTCCACCATCGACGATGGTGCTACCCTCTGACGAAACTCCGCCATCAATAACTGTGTCTCCTCCAGAAAAGTCCTGCGCACAAACGCAAACAAATCTCAGACCAAGTGATTGCAAGAAGCTAAATGAGCACCTTCCGGTCAAACTTTGGTCTTCTAACCCAAACAGCGTGTCCACACGAAGGGGTTTTATCTTGCTATTGCACTAAACACACTGTTTTTGAAGAAAGGTTCGAACCCCGCACCCCCCAGATGTGTGCGAGCAGTCCCGTGCTCAAGAGTTGGTGCTCACTTCGCTTGGCAGACATAAATTCCAAATGTTTGCATGCTCCTAAGTGGATTTCCTCCAGTCGCAAGTGCAGAAGATCTGTTCAGATCGGTCATAGGTCCGATAGATACAAGTGTTCGACTTTTCATACGCATTTTGCGATCGCAAAGAAAGAATTGTTCTTTGGTCCAAAGAGTCCAAAGAGTCCAAAGGCAGAATCTAAAGATCTTGTGATGTCAGTGATCGTGTAAGTGATCGGCGATCGCAAAGGAATGCAAAAATGGTGTACGATCCGATCCGAAGTGATCTTCAGCAAGACGTCCACTGTTCAACAAAAAGACGAAAAGTAGAAGTCGCCTCGCAACCGAGGCTGTATTTCTGGCAGCAGAACTGCTTCTTCGTGTCTGACCAACCGGCCCTCAGCAGTTCCGCGCAATTTCGAGGCTCGAGATGAGTAGAAATGGTGCAACGCACATGTGGACAAACCAGACTAAGGTCGCACCAAATGGTTTCTCATATGTTCACTTCCATTCGCTTCAGTCTTCCCAAACAAGTCTCCGATAGTGGTTCACTCATGTCAAAATATCCGTCTGGTCCAATCACAATGCCAGGGGGCTTCCAGTTTCGAACCCCAGCAGAACAGTCATAGTTGTCGTGGCTGTGGTGGCCATAGACCTCACACAAAACCTTACCCTTTTTGCCTGAATGGCATACACTAGGAGCAAGGACGCTACTAGAGAAAATGAATGGGCTTGTTTCTCAACATGAATGGATCGAGCGACCACATGGGTGACGTGAGTCACCACTGCAGCATGCTCATGATGATGAGCATACGGATCTCCACACCTGATAGAACCGAAGGGCAACCGGAGGAAGGTTCTAATTCACTCAGCGAGACAAAGAGCAAACTTCAAGGGATTTGTATGCGTTCAAAACATACAGAGCAATCCTTTCTTCTAGTTCTTTAGACCAATAAAGAGCAAACTTCAAGGTTGAGTCAGTTGAGTTTTTATCTGGTACTCTTCTCTGTATGAATCCATCATATTCGAAGTTTTCATGCAACTCAAAAATCTAAGCAATGGTCTCTGAACTGAAACATGCTGCCTTAATTGTCTTCTTCATAGATTCTCCTATTTTACAGGGATCTCAAGTCCTACTCCAACACGAGCGACAGTGTTCAAGCACTTGTATTAAAAGAATGCCAGGTGACGATTTAGTGTGTCAACGTATGAAACTGTGTCACCCTGTTTTCCACTTAGGAATTCTCATTGAATTCGTTGAATCCCACATTATGTAACTTCAGCCGCCAAGGGTTTCTCAAGAACGTTTGTGCAGGCCAAGTTGCGCGACATGGTGATGGGAGCAGCAGTAGTGCCTGGCTCGGCAATATGTCAGCCGCAAATGAAAGCTTTGCCCACAAAATGATCTACCATTTGCTGCGGAAGACATCAACAAAAATACTGAATATGCATCTACTGGTTCTGGATGTTTCTAGTGTTCTAGTGGTCTCGGGAATTGCTCCATGCGGTGCCTGTGATCATGAGACCAAGTCCGCCAGCCAGCATCCTTCCAGCATTGGTAGGCTTCGTGAGTCCTCAGCATATGCTGAAGCACCTGTAAACAAGAACGCTACTAGTAAGGTAAGTCTTTGACGCACTACACAGGGCACCATTCGACTGCACACAAAAACCAAATGTTTTTTGCAAAGAACGCTATCTGCAAAGTCTTTTTTCGGACATTCAAAACGGTTACACCACATGCTTGCATCTTGTCGTCCTTGTGGCTTCAGCTAAGGGCCAGGCTCGGTGTCATGGGTGTAATGATGTGTTATCCAATGTTCTTAGATGCCAAGAATAACATTTCACCATACACCAAGCAGAAGCTGCTGTAGGTAGACGAATTAAGAAGACGAAGTTAAGGAGTAGTGGGCATATTGTGGAATGCGGCTGGCTTCATCTTGAAGCTATGATGATTCCATTCAAAGCCAAGACGCCGCCCACTATTTTCTCACGGTTGTGGACGATGTGATGGTGGTGATGGTGAACAACCACAGGAACCGGCACAGGCACTTTGACAGGCACTTGAACCACTTGTACATGGTGGTGCTCCTACGCTTGGCAGGTGCTTGATTGAATAGTGCAGTGATGAGCAACGCTTTGGAAGAAACGCTCTTCCTTCTGAAGTAATCCTTCTTTGTTCTCTTTTTGTTCCTCTATGTTTCCTCAGTCTGCTCTTTCCCATATTTTCCCGAAGATCCGAACCCTCCAAAGCTCAGCCAGTCCTCCCGGCAGGCACGGCTGGCATGGACGCAACACCAATGCTGCTTCTCCAGCGACCAGTGGGAACGCCACTCGTGGAAGCCTGGCGCAGCCACCGAAGTGGAAGCGGCGCTGCGCAGCGCAGCCGGAGGAACAAGTTTCGAATGGCTTCGACCAGGTTTAGACATGAATTTTGAATGGCAAGGAGATTGTTGCTTTCACGACCCCTCAGCCGCCCTTAAGTTGTTTGGTCAATCTTGCTTTTCCGAAGCTAAGTGACCGTCGTCACAATCGAAAGGCTGAGGGGTGTCGCAGCCACGATGCAGACGGCCACCTAGTGAAAAGGGCATCTCAAAGAGCATCCCTTTGATCATCTCTGAAAAAAGACTCTGACGTCTCTTTTGCTGTCAGAGTTTCTCTATTTCTTTACGCCAAAAGCAGCATAACTCTCATATTCCTGGCAATTACTTTTTCTGAGGCCATGGCAGCACCAAGCCTGCTCAAGAGATTGAGGCTCAAACAGGTGTCAATCTTGGAAAGGACTCTGAAAATCTGCAAAACGCATCAAACCGAAGCTTTGCATTCAAGCGAGCAGATCTGGATGCTCCAATTTTTGGCGAGCCGTGTAGCTCGATGGACGAAGCTGTGGCCCAAAGAGAGCCGCTTTCAGCGCCCACAGAGCCGGAAAAACGGAAAGCCACGAGAAGCTAGTAGTAACAAGAAGCTAGTAGTAACAGGTGCATCGCTAGTAGTAACAAGTGCCTTACTAGTAGTAACAAGAATAATTTAATTTGAATTGTAATTACTAGCTTCTTGTTACTACTAGTAAGGCACCTGTTACTACTTCCCGGGCACCATTTCCCGGAATGTCTCGGCACAATCCATCTTTGTCCATCCACTCCGGGATGGAACGGAAGAAGCCGAGAGATTTACTCCAAATGAAACTCGTGACAAAGTCACGATGTGAGTCACGCTCAGCTGAGCGCTCAGCTGCGAGACCCAAAACTCGACTGAGACTGGAAGTCAAAGATGGTCAGAGACGAGTCGACCAAGTCGACCAAGTCGACCAAGACTGCACATCCCGTCAGAGAGCTCCAGCCATGGCCCGCTTCACGTGAAAAACCTTGTGCAAAGGACGTACTGTCAGAGAGGTCAATTGTGATGTTTCAGCTCTTTTGGAAGGTCCAAATGTGTCGCCAAGAATGAAAGGAACAGTCTGGGTAAACATGCTGCCTTGCTACTAGTAGCTTCTTGTTACTAGTAGCGATGGCCTCCAACCTACTTGCGATGGCCTCCACCTAATAGCATCCTGCTGCGCCTCTCTTGTGTCTCAGTTCAGCAACAAATCTTGGAATGATGAAGGACATGAGGAAGCATGCGAAGCTGAAAATGGTCCACATTGTGGACGCTTCCAGGCTCCACTTGTACGCCTGGAAAACCAGTCTGACGAACCGGACATGTGATGTGACAAAAGTCGGGTTCGTTGAATCGCCCTCGTACCAAGTACCCCTTGCTAGAACACGAATCTAAAATTGTGGTCGAGACCAAAAGCAAAACACCGATATGTCTTCCTCGATCCTTAGAGGTGCCCCCCATCGAGCAAGAGGAGCTTTGATGTCTCTGTACAGCGAGTTTTTAAAAATGGATGTCCTTGACAAGTCGCATTGTCTGCAGCATAGAAACCCATAGAGTAGAGCACAAAGAAGAGCATGAAAAGCATGAAGGACTGCCTTAGATTGCAAATAAACTGTAACTGAAAGTTCGGTCATCGTGTTCCAGCGCTGCACAGGTGCAATCAACTTCATAGCAACATGTCCAAGGAACCCATAGTTCATGAGCTTACCAGGCCATCGTGGCACAGCAAAGCGCTCGGTAAGGAACATTGTCAACTTCAAAACAAAGAGGAACCAAAACACCTCGGTGACATCCGGATGAAGAAGGTTTGATGCTGAAGAAGCAGAAAAATATACTGTACACATCCGAGATCATAAGGCAAAAAAGGCCAATCTGAAAGAAGATAAAGAAGGTCTAATTTAATTCTAATAGCTTCTTGTTACCACTAGTAAGGCACTTGTTACTAGTAGCGATGCACTTGTTCCTAGTAGCGAACATGGTTACTACTCTTCACCCTCTTGTTTTAGCAATTTGAAACAGAATTTGCAGTTCTCTACCGATGGCTTCGCTTCGCATTTCGCATCCGAGTCATCCAAGGAGCGTAGAAGCCAAAGGAACTTCCCAACAGCTCGCTGACGATGCAGGGGATCGGCGCACCAGCCTGGGCGGAGCCGCGGAGCTCTAAAGGCCTACTGTAGCGTCCTGACCTTGCTCCGTTCGTAGCGATGCCCTTTGTTCCTAGTAGCTTCTTGTTCCTAGTACGGCCAGGAGCCCTTAGTAGCGTCCTTTCAGGAACTTCAATGCAAGATATTCAACCAAAGCGTATCACAAATCCCGCCTTGACCAGGGCTGTGACCGTGTTCATACTGGCTGCGAAGGTGCAGGAGGAAAGAATCATGTAGTACCTCAGGAGGTCAATGCAGCTAGACACGGCGGTTCTATCCTGCCCTGACGTTCTGACGAATTGACTCGAGATAAAGACGTTGTTTGGAAGAGCGAAACAATAAATGTATGTCCTATATCATCAATGCATCCGCGCCAATCATGTCTCAGAAGTGATCCGGATGAGAACCGCACCAAAAGATTCAGACTCCGACTTCAACTGATTCGAAGAGAAACCTAATTTGTCAAGACCTGGTCTTGAAAGCACTACACTTTTGACAGATTCTTGACCTGATTCTTTCAAAAAGGCATTCCAAGCAGTGCTCTCGTCCGCATTCCAAACGCCAGGCTCACTGCTCTCAGTGCGCTCAGTGCGCTCGGTGCGCTCGGTGCGCTCGGTGCGCTCAGCGCTTCGAGCGCCCAAGGCACCCAAAGGGCACGTGGGTGGCACCCTGGATTAGCAGCTCCTCTCGCAAAGGGCCGCGCACATAGCGCATGAAGGCCTCCTTGCCTCGGTGTTTGGTCTTCCAGGTGTCCAGTCTGTCCAGACTAATGGGACTCAAGACCAGACTATCGCTACTAGGAGCAACGCTACTAGGGGCTCCTGGCCGTACTAGGAACAAGAAGCTACCAGGAACAAAGGGCATCGCTACGAACGGAGCAAGAAGACTAGACTAGACTGGACTAGTCTAGTCTCATCACGGAAACGCTTGAGACGCAACCGACACGTATCCCCACAGCCGTACGTACTACTCCCTCTTCATCGCTCCCCGGCTACTTGTGTAACAAATGGTGCTACGTCCCTTGTCTGCAGCAATGTCCAGGTCTCTCACCCCACCATGTGGGCTCTGCTCAGCCTGCTCCGCTCTGCTCTCACTTCGGCCCAGTCTCTGCCATACCACTTGACAATCGAGCTATGCACGAAGTTCCTGTCAAACTCCGTGCGGCAAAAGGCTTGCTCTAAGTCCTCAGGACGAATGCTTGGACATAAAGGGCTTGCTCTACCCTCTCGGCCTCTTGGCCTCTCCTTTCGTTAGCTCTCAAAAAGCTTCTCTCCTTTCTAGAGGCGTTGGCTCATGGACTTAGTGTGCTGCATAGACCCTACCTAGCATTTCAGAAGAATCCACAATGCATATTTCTGGGGTCGCCTGGTTTCGTGCACCTGCCAACCAGATCCCGAATGCAAAATTAATTAGGGCTGGACAAGCAATGCACTATGACTATGATAGAATAGGGGGAGAGGGCTCTAGGACCTACTCTAGGATGCAGAAAAAAGTGCGAACGGAGTCAAGCAAGTCGGCCTTTGCAGTACAGGAGTCTGCACTTGTGTCACTTGCACCCAGCTTTGAAAATGGAATCCAAGTGTCAAAATCCTTAAGATCTGAAAGGAGCTTGAACTTCTCCTTGATGTTTTCTCTCAAGAGGTGCACCATCACCAAGACTGGAGTCAACCTGACTTCTTGAGTGTCCACTCATGCTGCCGCCAAAGGAAAGAAGTCGCTGCCAAGTTGCGCCAACATCTCAAGAACTAAGAATTCCTGGCAACAGAGCTTTGACCGTACACTAGCGGTTGCCTTCCAGGAAAGCCTCCAACACAAATAGGGTGGATCTCACCAAGGGGAGTGCAACTTAAGCAAACTTATCCAAAAAGATTATGGCGAAAGAAACGAGTTGAATAAGGAGTCACACTCAGACTTGAGCACCCTGTTACTTTGCAGCCTTATGTGGCCATATGTCTTGGCCGCATGGCCTGACCTGCTCCAGTCTCAAGGCGATGCCAATCCAGAAAAGAAAGGCAACAAAGTAGATGCCGAACCTCACATCTCCAAAAAATGAATTCAAAACAAATGCGAAAGAAAGGTTATAAAGTCAAAGTGTCTTCCAAGGACCTAGAGTGGAAATGTCCGAGGCGCATCAAATATAAGATCCCCATCTCTACGAAGAGGGGTTTCAGCGTGATCTTTCCCTCGGGGCATGCGGAACGATATGCTGCCAGCTCGAAGACGCACCTGGCGGTCGCTCGGCAGAAATGCCCGACGGTTCCGCTGGCACAAATGAGGCCATTTGGAAATTCCTAAAACCAAAAACAAAAACCGAAAGCAAAGGCTTGTCCTAATCACGGTCGAATGGCCAAAGGCGAGACAAGTAGGGTGAGCTCCAAAGCACTCGCAGCTCCTTGGACACACTGAGGAACCCACCTCCATCATGGCAGCAGTTCATTTGTCCCTAGACTCCAAACAAAGTTCACAGCACTTCATCCATGTTTTGCTTGTCTTCTTTCTTCCGCCTAGGCCATAGATGCCACGCTCCATGAGTTCCTCTCAAATCGAATCTGAACCAAATGCGATTCGGCGATCGAAGGCTTTTGCGACTGCTTGGCAATCGATGTCGTCGTCCTGGTCGGTCTGGTGGATGCTCACCACATCGAGGAAGCAGATTTGCTTCCGTGGCACCAGCGGCCGGATGTAGGGCGACAAGATCAAGCCGCTGAGAACCCCCAAAAGGCCACCGAGCATTGGCCAAAAGGCAAAGGACACCGTACCCTGAGGCCAAAAAGCACCAATCTCGGAAGAATGTGTGTGTTTTTGCCGTGCTCTTCTCGAGAATGTCATAGCGCTATGCAAACTCGGGAAAAGTGATCGAAATCCTTTACATGGCGTTACTTCCCGACTTTTTCAGCAGGATGTCAAAGGATACATTGGACCCCTACTAGTGTACCAAAGACCGCAACAGATTTGTGGTGACAGGAATGGAGACGCTTGTCAGCATGTGTCATACATGAAGTATATCTGCGTCGCTCCTAGTAGCGATGCCAGTAGTAGCTTCTTGTTCCTAGTAGTACGACCAGGAGCCCCTAGTAGCGTCCTTGCTCCTAGTAGCGGTGTTTTTCCAGCTTTCGCTTATCTCTCATGATTGCCACACTTTGCTGATTTAGGCTTGACTTCAGGTGGACCCTGGCTTGGTCTCACCTTGAAGGCAAACATGTCCACTTCCAACCTAAGCTGTTGGCTTCCGCGGTTTAAAGCAGACTGCAAAGCCAAAGCATAATCGGATGGTCGCAGTTCTTCGCACAAAGAGCTTGACACAGCATGGTGGTACGCTTGCATTCATCTAGATTCTAGATTTTAGATGTTGCATTGTTTTGGTAGACAGAAATCGAAAGCCAAGTGACGTGAAAGGCAAGGGCAATATTTCAGAGAAGATCAAGATCTCTGCAAGCCCCACACCGCAGAACCAGCCAAGCAAGGCGACCTTCCATCCTGACTGAAGGAGCAACGACACCACCTTCCGCCTGTCATTGCAACGGCAAAGCAAAAACAAAAGCAAATTGAAGTACCTACATTAGATAATGTTGGTTTAATCGTTGTCTACAGCTCCAACCTGGACTTTTTCTGGTCTTTGAAAAAGAAATGCGGAATTAAGAAGGAAGACAATTGACGCAGAAAAAGCATATTGCGCGCCTCCCAGGAGTCAGCCAGGTGTGTGAAAGAAAGACGTCGAAATGATCAGCAGGGGTGGAGTGGTTCCAGAGATTCTGGCGCTCCTGAAGCTAGAAATTCATGCTTCCACGTGAGAAAGAGAAAAGAAAGAGCTTTGGGCTGTGAAGACATGAACTTCCAATGACTTCCCACTACCTTTCTCTACAGCAGCTAGTTTTCTTCTGTCCTTCAATCTTTCCCAAATTCCATGGCACTGTTTTGCGCTTTTGTAAAGGCACATTTGCTCGATCTCAAAACGAACACGGCGTTCCTGCTCGGTCATGTCAAGGGGAGAGCGTCGCCAAAGCCTTCCTCCCCACTGCAGGGATTTGCTCAGCGAGATGCCGCGAATGATCTCTTGATCGACCTTCACAGGTCACAGGGTCGATCCTTAGGAAGCTAGTAGTAACAAGTGCCACGCTACTAGTAACAAGTGCCTTACTAGTAGTAACAAGAAGCTATTAGAATTAAATTATATCTAAATTAAATTAATAGCTTTTTTGATACTACTAGTAAGGCACCTGTTACTAGTAGCGTGGCACTTGTTACTAGTAGCTGACTTGTTACTACTAGTAAGGCACCTGTTACTAGTAGCGTGGCACTTGTTCCTAGTAGGAATGGGACTTTTGTCTCGGACAAGTCACTCTTTCAAAGGAACCTTTGCCCCACCTCAAAGTGGTCTGTGTTAACGATGCTCTCCAGTCGCAAGCGCGATGCTTCACTGGGGAACTTCAGCTCTGAGCGCTCTGCACTTGCAGAACTTACATGCTCAGCGGTAGGTTTTACGGTCAGTACTTCAAGCGCAATGTCCGTTGCCGGCTCTTCCTGGAGCAGGTCAAATGAATGGGTCACGACTTGCAACGGCAGAGGCTACCACTACTCAAGCTGGCACATGCTATGCAAAGATATTTATATAATGTTGTTATTTTAGAAAAGTAACAGTCCCTTAGCTTCCGGACGTTTCAGCAAACAAATCACGATATGATTCTTTCCAAGAAAGGAAATCAAGTCAAGTCGCCCTACGTCGGCCAAATCGCACATATCTTAAGCAAATGATCTTTGGCTCATAAGTCAACGCAAAATCGGCTGGGGGAGTGAGCTGCGCCTCACTTTCTGTCATCTCATGCGTCACTGCTGTGACCTCCACCGGTGGCACATCTGCTTTCTCCTCATTGCAGCAGCTGGTGTTGCTTCCCATGGCACAGGCAACACAGTCTTTGGCAGAAAGTGCAGTCTTCGGGTCATGCGAGCTTCTGATTCCATTCTATCTTCTCCAACCTACTAGCGATGGCCTCCATGCATATCATCCTTCATGACCGACATGGACGCTTTTGGCATAGCTCTTCATATTGGTCATTAGGCGACCTCTTTTGAGGTATGTCAAAGCTACAAGCCATGTGACGTTCAAGCAGGCAGCCAATCAATTCTGCTAGCTGTACGGGACCGTTCTCACCAGGCTTCAAAAAACTCAATGCACAATGCGTTCTAGCTTCTTGCTACTAGTAGCGATGCCAGGAGCCCCTAGCAGCGTCCTTGCTACTAGTAGCGATGCCAGGAGCCCCTAGCAGCGTCTTGCTACTAGTAGCGATGCCAGGAGCCCCTAGCAGTCCTTGCTACTAGTAGCGATGCCAGGAGCCCCTAGTAGTCCTTGCTACTAGTAGCGATGCCAGGAGCCCCTAGTAGCGTCCTTGCTACTAGTAGCGATGCCAAGAGCCCCTAGTAGCGTCTCTGCTACTAGTAGCGATGCCAGGAGCCCCTAGTAGCGTCCTTGCTCCTAGTAGCGATGTCAGGAGCCCCTAGTAGCGTCCTTGCTCCTAGTAGCGATGCCAGGAGCCCCTAGTAGCTTCTTGTTACTAGTAGCTTCTTGCTACTAGTAGTAATTCATGGCCTCCAACCTAATGGCGATGGCCTCCCATCCTAGTAGTTTCTTGCTACTAGTAGTTCACAAGCCTCCTCTCCAGAACCTCGACCTCGCCTTCTTGTCCGCCGACCAAGTTCGCTGCCAATTGCTGTATCCTGCATCACAATCAAAAACCACCTCGGAAGATAACAGAACGGACGACTTCTTCAGCTACATTAGTGCAACCGGCAAAACGCATAAAGGCTGAGCACGCCGGCCGGGTTGGGACAAGCCACGTCGTATTTGTTACAGCACCAATACCTCCACGAAACTCAGAGATGAATCACAAACTGAAAACAAGAGGTATGTTTTATCACAACCTGCACTTTGGAAAAACTGAATGCATAAATGCACAATTTGTTTGACGTTTCAGCTTTCAATTCCTTTACTTTCAACTCTACTTTCAACTCAATTTTGCAAATCGCAATCCGAGGGTCTTCTTGTGATCACTCCAGCCATTTTGCCAGTTTGTGACCTCGCCAACAAGCTTAAGAAGGTGTGTCAAGGCACGTCTCCAGTCCGCATCATCCTCTTGATCTTCATGTCAGAGAATTACAAATGTTAAGTTCAAGACCTAAAGGACCTAAGGCCACCTACGTTGGTCTTGGACCAAGGGGTGGCAAACTCTCAAAGCGTCTCAACTAGTCTTTGATTAATTTATACACCTAGTAGCAAGGACGCTATTACGTGGAGGCCATCGCAAGTAGGTTGGAGGCCATCACTACTAGGAACAAGAAGCTACTAGTAGCAAGGATGTCTTTTATGTTTTGTCACTTCGGCTTTGGCATTTTAGGCCCTGACACCCGCACGGCAGTCATACGGCTCAGCCACGTCGCAGCCACGGTTCTCAGCAATAAAATATGTGTTCTGTGTTCTCGTTCAATCTTCACGGTTCGCGAGTGATGAAGTCTTCTTGTCAAGCAAAGCATTAGCTCCTTGTCGTGAGTTAAGGTGACTGAGGGAAGGTTGTCAAAGACCTTGTCAGTCAAGGTATTCGGGAAAGGGGCTTTGTGATGGCCAAGCAGCATGTTCTTTGCAGCACCAATTCTTCTTGTCAGAGCTCCAATCGGCCTCACATCAGCTCACAAAAGCACTAAATGATTGAATCATCGTTTCATTGACAAATCAGCTGAGAGCTATGACAAATCAAAAAAAATAAATATATATATATATACAGTATATATGTTGTTTCAGTCTCCTCAAGGAGGCAGGTATCATGCATTGGCTCAAATCAAAGGAGCCTCTGTTCCACTGCAGTCGAACTGCATTGTGCTTCCACCTGCGCAAGCGTCTGACGAAGAAAGGATTGTGAATGGTGTCGTCAGATGTCACAGCTGTGTGCTGCAATGTGCTGCATAAAGCTACGCCGCTACGTGACGATGAAAAAAGTATCTGATCACTGCACCACAGGGTCACAGCTCCTGGACAGCTGCCCTCGAACTCACAGCACCACTTCTTCTTTGCCTGCAAAATGCAAATGAAAAGGAAGGAAAAGGAAGCTCTTTTGATGTGTTCCGATCGAACCTCTCCTGCCGAAGGAAAGCATCTCCCCACGTTTTGGGGCTCAAAACATCTTTGGACTGGCTAAAAATATGCAAAGCAAAAGTAGGATGCATGGCATGCCTTTGACAAAATGAACACCAAACCGGTCAGCCTTTGTTTCCAAGTTTTGTAGTGACCCGGCAATCAAACCGAGCCTCTGACCAGGCTGCCTGCCAGTTGCCTCGGGCAGCTTGGCAATCGTACCTTGGAGTGAATTCAGGTTGGATTGTGATGACACCGGCCAGTTTGTGGCCTCAGGCTGTTCTATCCACGCTCCAAGTTGCGGCTGTGCAGCACATCCATGACCCACCCGTGCACAGCAATAGGCCTGCAGGGCAAAGTGATTTTGTAAGCTTTCCTTTGGAACTCTTGGAGGGAGTCCTAACAAAACATCACAGATCTCTACAAATCTCAAGATTTTCTAAGCTGCATCACTTCTTGCAAAAAGATCAGACTGTCTTCGGACATCTTGTCTGCCTTTTTCTCATCAGTCCACACAGTTTCCCAGCTGTCGATCGCTGCTGTGCAGTCAAACCTTAGATTCGAGCCTGTGGGGTGCACTCTCACAAAAATGCAACAAAGGGAACCAAAAGAAATGCAGGAGCAAGGACGCTACTAGGGGCTCCTGGCATCGCTACAAGGACGCTACTAGGGGCTCCTACTACTAGGAGCAAGGTTCTCAGGGATCCTCTTCTTCGGACCATCGAAGCCAGTTGGATGCACCCACTGTCCCATTTTTTCGAATCACAATACGTCGGAAGATCGGAACGTTCGAACAATGCAGCCTGGGCTCCTCAGACCTACGAAACTCGAAACTTGGATCGAAGGACAAGTCGACAGCGGGCATCTGCCAAGTCTACCGAAATTCCATGCAGTTCCTCTTCTTTCACGTGCCTGCTAGGTTGCCCACGGCTGAGTGGAACGCCCTCCAGTGCGGTTTCAACTTGACACCGCACAAAAAGGGACTGTGTGTCTACGCCGAGTCTACGCTCTCAGTGTGCAAGGTGCAAGCATTACCTCCCGCAACTGCTTTGGCTAACTACGGATTGCACAAAGTTTGCACCTGCCAGAGATGGCGTATCCCACCGCAAGCGCAGCTGCAACCAACACCAGAAAGCAGCAAGCAAGGCCTGGGAAAGTCAGGAGTGAAGTACCTTCATCGCTACTAGGTTGGAGGCCATGGCTATTTGCAGAAAACAAACCTTCACAGCTCTCCTGTCGATGAGAGGTGAGAGCGAACTTGGGAGACCCGCCCAGCTGTTCCGAACATATCGCCAAGCAACTGGAGAAGCGGCAGCGCCACCCAGTGGGAAGGACCTCCCGATCCCAGCTGCCACGGCCCTGACGCATTGAGGTGTGAAATCCAAACAGAATCACCCTAGGCCTCCACCCTAGAAGCGATGGCCTCCACCCTGGTAGCGATGGCCTCCACCCTAGTAGCGATGGCCTTCTACCTACTAGC